GACTGTGCTCAAAAAAAAAAAAAAAAAAAAGAATTAGAGAAAATCATCTTTCTTCCCTAGAATGCCCCAGGCACCAAAAGGAACAAGGAGGCTGACAGAGATCTAGCCATGACAAGCATTTATACTATAGATTCACATTCTGAGAGGCTCTGAAGTTCAAAGTGTAATACCAAACCACCTTTCCCAGTGCCTGGGTCCTCTCCTCCCCTCCCCCCATACCCACATGTCCTGGTAGGCCTTCTTCATGCCTCGAGCAGCAAGCTCCATGGTACGAAGCACTTCTGTATTGGTGGTGGCATTCTCGATGGCCTCACGTTGAAACTCCAGGGTAGATAATGTCCCATCAGTTTGTGCCAGCTGCTGTTCCAATCTTTTCTTCCTCCGCAAAGCCTGCAGGGCAGCTGACCCAGCCCACACTCTGAACATCAGAGTCAGAAGCACCTGCTTCTCACCTCTGCCCTCCCCATCAGCTCTTTTCCCTCATTACCTCTCTTATTCTTGGTCCCATGCTTCTTGGCCGTTTGGAGCTCCTGTTGAATCTTCTGCTCCAGAAACTCCTGTTTCTTGATCAGTATCTTCTCTGTCTCCTTTAGTTTCTGTATTGCTTCTTCAGGGGTTGGCCCCTTCTCCTTCTTCCCTGAAGAGTTCAATGGAGCAGGCCCATATGGTGTGAAGGAAAAATATTAGCCACCAATCATTGAGTGCAAAGTACGTGCTAGGCACCTGACTGTACTATTGCTAATCCCTAAATAATTCTCTACAATGAATGTACTATCTTCACTTTACAAATGTGAAAACAGGCACAAAGAGGTTAAAAATCCCAACTAGTAAGAGATTATGCAAGAATTGAAATGTGGCAGTATGACTTCCAAAGCCAATATTCTTTTCACTGTTCCAACTGCCTTTCAAGTCATTTCCAGTCACTGTTAATAGACACTGTTCCACTTGCTGTCTTAGAAGATGCTCAAGGTTCTGACTGCACAGGATCAAACTGAATGAAGTACAGAAAGCTAGAGAAAAAGAAAATCTGATCCCAATTTCTCTCTTCTTCTATACTCAGAATCATTTTTCCAAATAAAAATCTGATGACCCCTGCCTGCTTAAAACCCTTCCATACTCTCCATTGCCTACAGGATAAAATGCAAAACTTTTCAGGGAGATTACCTTCCCTCCACACTTTCCTCCTCATCACACACACTCGCTCTACAAGGCAGCCAGAGCTTCTCTTTCCCCTAAATATACCATACTCGTTCCTGCCTCTGCGCTTGTCATAGCCTGTTACTGCTTCCTGGAGTACCTCAATTCTCCACCTGGCAAACTACTAGCCTTCTTGGTCACCACCCCCAATGCCTACTTCTGTGTTTCTCTGTTTTTTCAGGAGCAAATCCATCATTGAATTGCTACACCGCACTGTAAATGCCTGGTTTTGCTTGTCTCTCCCTACCAGATATGAGCTTTAAGAAGACAGTCTTTCTTCTTCACCTTAGATCCCTCTTGCCCAGCACAAAGTAGAACAAAGTTTCGGAAAGCACTGGATGAAGAGAGCGGGGAAACTCGTCCCCAAGCCTGAACAGTCGGAGCCAAGCACGGTCGCCACGCCTTCCACTCAGGCAAGGAAGGCAGACCAGGGCAAGGCGCCCTGACAAGGCAGGCCTCTGGCCCGGAGATGAGCCTTGCTCCGCCATCTCATCTGTTTTCGTGTCAGCCTGTCTCCTGGGTCTCTTCCCCTTCCCGGCACTGCGCTCATACTGAACGTTCCCGCGGTCTTCTCTCCCCCCCGTTCCGGCCAGCACCTCCTAGCGGACCAGTTCCGCCCGGGCTCACCCTTCCCGAAGAGTCTGCCGAGACCACTCATAGTGCCCTTGCCTCTCCCGCCTCCGCCCCTCGGCGTCCTGCACACTTCCGCCTTGTTCCGGGGAGGGTGAGGTCTCATCACGCCTTAGCCAATCCCGTCTTGGGGCGCCGCCGCGACATCATCAACAGGCGCAAATAAGACCACCGCCGTCACGTGACCCGAGCCACCAGCCCCAGATCGACGGGCTCCTATTTATTTTTTTAAAAAGGCTGGTCAAATTTAGCAGTGGGGGGACGTGCTCCTCTTAAAGCAGCCATTTCATTTTCTGTTACGTGAAAAGGCCCCCCCCACAGTTACGTATTTGTACTCTGGAAGGAAATGTGCAGTGTAACGGCACCCCAATAAATGGGGCCAGTGGGAAGGTTCTTCATGGCCTTTACGGAGCTCAAGAAAGTAGGGTGGGATGGTTTCGAGCACAAGGGGATCACAATCTTGGGGTTGCCACAAGTTTATATGGCAGAACCTCATGTAGCCTAATGTCTCACATTACCGTCTTCGCATTTCAGGACAACTAACCCGGTTCACAGGCTAGAAAAATAGAAACCACCCACAGTGTGGGTAAGATGTCTTCTGTCACACAGAGATACACTTTAATAAATTATAAATGCACCTGAAAATGTCTTCTTGATTTCTTTTCAGTTTTAGGCCTCAAATGAAGTTCATCTACCAGGCTGGACCTCAAGGCCCAGTTTGGGCCTTTGCAAATGTCTCCAACCCTTGAGTTAGGGTTTGAAGATTCATTCCATTCTGGACATGAATGCAGGTAACACCTAGAAGGAAAAAAAAATCACATTTCATCAGGATTTCAGGGCTCTCCCATATTATTCTCACCTTTTATGGGTGCCGCCTATCATGCAGACCATCCACCCTGTGTATGTCTACCTAATCCCTCCTAGGAAAGAACCCTTTCTTCTCATGCCCCAAATGGCTCTCCTTGCCCCTCAGTACCCAGTTTGCTGACGTCTACAATATTCCGCCTCTCATCATCAAAGAAGATCATCTGGGAGAAAGGAACTCCGGTCTTTTGCCGCAGCCTGTGCAAAACACGGCAGGGGTAGCCAAGCTGGCATCTTGGTTCCTCCAGCCTCTCTGGTACTCTCTCCCTGCTCCTCCCTTATCTCCGCATACCTCTCAAAGTGTGTGACCTTACTGCCTGGATAGATTTCCCGATGAGCAAAGTATCTGACAAGGTCAAAGAGCTCCAGTAGCTGGTTGGCTCCTTCTATCTCACCTGTCCTGCAAAAAGGTGTAATAGACGGGATTAGGAGAGTGAAGGGCCAGGGCTGCAAGGAAAGTTAAGTATAACCAGGGGAAAATCAACTTGCTGTTTTTCCAGCATGGATAGGCCTCTTTGCCCTTTTTTCAACTCCATAGCCTTCCTGACACAGCTGGTGCTGAGCCAATGTTTAATAATTAAATAGTACAGGAGAGGGTACAATGAAAAAATATGCAAATACTTGCAAATTTGCACCTCCTAAATTTTTGTAACCCAGAGCACGCACGAGAAGTCTCTTCATGCATGCATCCTTCAGCATTACACTGACAGCTTTTGTTAGTCGCTCTTCTTACCGTGAAGCGGCTGCACCGGGCACCCCAAGGCCCTGCAATCGTTCCAGAACCTGAGGCACCTCTGGGTACAGTCGGACGTCCTGGCCCCGCCTATCTCGCACAGTTCCGTCCCTGGAGAGGGAGACAGCGCCCTCAGGTCCGGCGGGGCCCCGCCTTCCTACCCCTGCTTCACCTGGCCCCAGTCTTCCCTATCCCTGCCTCACCTGCTCTTGTGGAAAGGAGGGTCTACGTGCGTATCGACCCAGAAAGGCCAGAGCGTGTAATCTGCGACAGGAAGAAGGGGGAAGGTTCAGCCTCGGGAGGTGCAGGGGACTCGAGAGCTGCAGCTGGGGTGTGGGAAAGGAGAGCGCCCTATGAAATTCTGCCCTCCCAGTCCCTCACCCAGATCAAAAACTGCCAGCTTCGGGAGCCGCGCCATGACCAGCACCCGCAGGCTCCGCACACCAAGTTGGAGCTTTCTCCAGGGCCTTACAGACCCCAGCAACTCTGGCGGCCAAGGCCACTCCACCTAGCATAGAGAAACGGCGACTAGAGCGTCGCCACGCCGAGCTTAAGCTGTCAGCCTGGCGATCGCGCAAGAGCGCCTTCTGGTGCTGCGCGGGGGAGAGGACTACAGCAAAGTACCAACTTGACCGCACGTAGAACACGGGACTCAAGCCTCTCCAAGGCACTGGCCACAGGAACCCTCCCATACTTCTCCACCTAGCCTTGCCAGATTATACTACACTAGAGAAGCCAGGGAAGGAAAGCCTTTTCTTCTATTAATAGCACCTCTTATCTTCCCAATTGAGACCTAAGTGATCCATCATAGCTTGTCACTCAACCTTTCTCTATACCAGTCTCTTGATAGTGTGGAACCCAAAGCCCTCAGCAATATTCCAGCATAAAGAATGTAGTACCTGCTAAGCCCTGAGGCCTTTCTCCAACCATCCCCGAATGTCCAATAGAGCCACAGGAGAGAATTCACTCTCCTGGTTTCTACCATCCATGTCAGTAGTATGCTGGTGGATGTGTAACAGCCAGTTTGGGAGGAGGAACTGATTTATAGTGTTTGACAATTTCTGTAAATATTCCTATCATGGCCAATTCCAAGCTACCAACATCAAGTCACTTAACATGGAGTTGGGAAGAGATGTCAATAATTGGCTCTTGTGAGCCAGTAAGAACTGGCTGCAGCACACCACTCAAAGTAGGCTTTCCTAGAGTCTGATAATCCTTAGAAGAGCACCATCACTTCCATTGCCCTACTCCTTCAGCCTGGTAGAGCTGGGTGAACATTGGGCCTATTTAGATTTGTCACATTTGTGCAATAAAATAAAGATTCCAGGAGGCCAGGAAATATTTTATTGACAACCAGGGACATAGCCATAAGAGAGGGAAACACACAGGACTGCAAATTAAAACCCAACAGCCAGCAAGGGCCCTCTGGGCCAGGAACACTGTATCCTGGGGTCCTCACAGTCTCCCACCAGTAGACACGCAAGACTAGGCATCCAGGGCAGGGGTCAGTGGCTCTGGTGTCCCAGAGAGTGAGAAGATATATGATGCCTCATTATGAGAGACAGGGTAAGGAGGTAAAACAGAGGGAGGGTCTATCACTGCCTAAGACCACCTCCTCCTCTCAGAGCCAACACCAGGTGGAGGACCGAACCACCTAGGATCTTGTAATCAGCTGCTGTCTTTTCATCATTCCTGCAGGAAAAAGGAGAAAAAAAAAAAAAAACCTTTAGAAATGCCATATAGAACAGGGGTTCTTAATCTGAGTTTCATAGATCTCTTTGGGGACCTATGAATGAACTTGGATGAGAAAAAAAATTCCATCTTTATTTTTACTAACCGCTAACTGAAATTTAGCATTTCTTATTTATTTATTTATTTATTTTTTTGAGACAGAGTCTCACTGTGTTGCCCGGGCTAGAGTGCCGTGGCGTCATCCTAGCTCACAGCAACCTCAGACTCCTGGGCTCAAGCGATCCTTCTGCCTCAGCTTCCCAAGTAGCTGGGACTACAGGCATGTGCCACCATGCCCGGCTAATTTTTTCTACGTATTTTTAGTTGTCCGATTAATTTATTTCTATTTTTAGTAGAGACGGGGTCTCGCTCTTGCTCAGGCTGGTTTTGAACTCCTGAGCTCAAACAATCCGCCTGCCTCGGCCTCCCAGAATAGTATTTCTTTTAATTTTAAACACAGGCAAAAAACCACAGTAGTATTAGTAATATGGGTAACTTGTTAACAACAGAAACTAGATTGTATTCGTATGAAAACTGTTTGCAGGTATCTTAAAAATATTTCAAAATTATGGTAGTTAGACCCACCATTAGATCTCATTTAATATATTAAAAAAGCAGCACATATATTACTATATCACAAATTTGTTTTAGTATTTTGATAATTGTATTTCAAAATACTTAGTTCCCTTTGTAGTTCTATATATTTTATTTTATACCTGAAAAAACCTTATTCTGAGGAGGGGCCTAGAGGCTTCATCAGATCACCAAAGAGTCCAAGGCACCCAAAACAAGAGGCAGGTCTGGTCCACCTCCAGTACTTGCCCCTCTCTTCTTCATAAAAGATTGTCATGCCCTCATTCTCACTCCAAACTCACATCTGTTTGCCACTGTAGATGAGCCGCTGTTGTTGTGGGGGGATTCCTTCTTTCTCCTCCACACGCTCCTTGATTCGCTCCACCTTTAGAGGGACAAGTAGTCAGGGGCTGCTCAGGGGTAAGACCATGGAAATGGAAAGAACAAGGGCTATGTAGATAGCAGGAGAGCAAAAGGACCAAGTTCATAAGCATACTCAAATGTAAATGGCAAGGAGAAGGGCATGAAGAGGTGTTGGGCATACATCACCTTGTCTGTGGGTTCAATGTCAATCTCAATCTCCTTTCCGGTCAGCGTCTGAAACAGGCAGGGGTTTCATGAGTCCTACAGCCCAACATACAATTTGTCTTCTAGGTAAAACATCCTGTCCTGATCTCTGAGGATCTATTGCCTTCTGAGAGATGCACATTCTCCACAACACTGCTTTGGAGAATTAGAAGGCTTTGATCATACCTATATTCGTCAAACATTTTTAGGCTGTGGACAACTTTGGTAGGGCAAAATTCTTCGCATACCATCTGATGCCCTTAATTCCATAAGTTATCTTCCTCTGCCTCTTCTCATTCCCCTCATGAAATCAGTGAGAATATTGGCATTCTTTTGGATGATACAGCAATGAGAGGTGTTCTAAGGAAAGTATTCCTTCCAGTCAGAAGGACCTTATTCTATTATAAATACCAATGCCACTAATCAACATTCAGATAATTCAAAGAATTTTCAAGTACACGAGAAGTCACCTCCGACCAGTGTTTCAAGAAACACTAGAATTCAACATTATATCTCCCCTATCTTCTCTAGACTTCTACCTAAATCCTAAATTGCAGCTCTCGTCTTCTTGACTTCTTCCATAGGCTAAAGGCTGCTGATATCCAAACACAATAATTATACTGATTGTATAGTCATAATGTATTCTACTCAATCTAATCTTCTTTAAAATTCTATCTGCACTAGTCTTCAGTGATCCAGACCACAAACACATCATGCTCAGTCTAATTCAGGGTTAGGGTGTTTGCCTTGTTTCTACTGCTTTCCTTGTTGCAATACCCTCCCCTTAATCCTTCTCCAAACCTCCAGGACTCTTTTTTTTTCCTTTCCTTTTTTTCTTTTCTCTCCACTTCCTCCCTCCCTTCCTTTCTTCCCTCCTTTTCTCTTCCTTTTCCTTCCCTCCCTCCCTTCCTTCCTTCTCTCTCTCTTTTTGACAGAGTCTTACTCTGTCACACCAGGTAGAATGCAGTGGTGTCACCATAGCTCACTGTAACCTCAAACTCCTGGGCTCAAGCAATCCTCCTGCCTCAGCCTCCCAAGTAGCTGGGACTACAGATGCATACCACCACGCCTGGCTAATTTTTTCTGTTTTTGATAGAGATGCGGTCTTGCTCTTGCTGGTCTCAAATTCCTGACCTCAAGTTCCTCCCAGAGTGCTAGGATTATAGGCATGAGCCACCACACCCAGGCTTCAAGGCCCCTTTAATATAAGATTTCCTCTTGTATGATGCCTAGACTTGTTCCCAGTGTACTTTATTAATACTTTCATTAACACTAATTATAGCTAGTTGTTTAAGTGTTAAACTCTCCAGCTTACATTCCAGCTTCCTTAAGGACACAGACTATTCAGTTCATCTTCCAAATCCAAACACAAAGCACAGCGTTTGATATAGAAGTAGTGAATAAATACTTGTAGAAGGGCTAAATGCATTGATGATCATGTTATAACCACAGCCAACATTTACTCAATACTTTCTAAGAATCAGAAACTATGCTGAGCAACTTACATACATTACCACATTTAATTCTCCCAAGTATTTATGAAATATGTACTATTTCTATTTCCATTTTACCGATGAGGAAAATAAGACATTGGACAGGTTAAAAAGCATGCCTATGCAATCAAAAGCACAGGGTGGATTTAAACAGTTTCTCCAGCCCCAGAGCCCAAGCTTTTTAGTTCTATACTCTGTCCTGCCTAACTGAATCTGACTAATCTAGTATGGGATACAGGGTCTTAATATGTTGCCCAGGCTGGAGTGCAGTGGTATGATCACAGATCACTGTAACCTTGAACTCCTCGGCTCAAGAGATCCTCCCACCTTGGCTTCCCGAGTAGCTAGGAATACAAGTGCCTGCCACCATGCCCAGCTAGTTAAAAAAAATTTTTTTTAGAGACAGGGGTCTCACTATGTTGCCCAGGCTGGTCTCGAACTCCTGGCCCCAATACTCCCACGTCAGCCTCCCAAAGTGCTGGGATTATAGTCATGAGCCACTGCACCCAGCAATATATGCCCTTACCTGACAAAATGAAAAGTGTGCAATTCTGTGTTGTCCACAAATGATTACACTTTATTGATCTTAATACTTTAAATGCAAAGACTTTTCAACCAGACAATTCTATTTCTATTTCTAGGTAACTACTTGGAGGAAAAACTTGGCCATGTTTCAAAAGAGGTATATGTGAGTTTGACTGCAGCACCATTTGTAAAAGCAAAACACTGGAGAAATAGCTTAATAATGCCCATTAATAAGAAAATTATTAAACTATGATACATCCATAGAATGTTACATTATGCAACAGTTTATACACTGACAAGGAAGGATCTAAAGAATGTATAATTCTTTAAAGAATGTATAATTATGTATCATTTTTTATATGCAGATGTATGTACATACACAGAGAAAAGGATCAAAAGTATAGATATCTCTTATCATAGTGATGATCTTTGAGCAGGTGAATAGGGCTGAGGGGAGGGTATATAAAGAGCAACTCTCCTTTTATCTGTACTGTTTAAATTTTTTGTAAAAATATATCCCTTCATCATATGAATATTAATATTTCAACCTAACAACAAAAATTTTTAAATAGTAAAAAAGACTCTAAGTCTTTTTTTTTTTTTTTTGAGACACAGTCTCGCTCAGTTGCCTAGGCTAGAGT